TTTCTGAACTTAAGCTGTCTATTTTCCAATATTTTAAGCCACTTACTTTGAAAATGTCTTCTGACATATATTTTACAAAATTTTGAAATCAGAGTGATTTAATATTTTAATAGTAAGTGATGCTAAGTTAGAGGAAATCTCCCTACTCCCCATATACTACCTTGGCAACTAAGGGCATAGTAAAAGGCTATATTAGAATAAAATATAATATGTCTTTTCAGGCCTACAATAATGAGATTTCAGCTCTCTGAACTTTGGCTAGTCATGCTATACAGAGGCAAAAATGGAGAAGAAGATTCTTTCTAAAATATTTATTCATTCTTTGACTTATCAAGAAATAGAGAAGAATTGTCCTTCATCTTCACAAAAGGGTTTGTGCCTTCATTTGATCTAATATGAAAGAGAAGTGGAAAGGTTTTCCTGATCCCAATAGACAATGAAATGTTTCTATATTCCCCAGAGGTGTCACTGAAGAAGTCAATACTGAAATAAGCATAGCATAGACTTTTATTAATTATTTCAATCTTTGTGAAGTAGACATCCTTCTTCCCCCATTCTATACAGATGTCTAGATAAAGGTGATTTCATCATCTCAAAGGAAATCAGAAACATTGGGACAAAACTTTTGATGCCTTTCAATATCGTAAATGAGTAGAGAAATTCAAGCCTCATATTTAGAGACTCATCTTTTTCTGAATAGCCTATCTAGGAATTACTTATCTCCATGAACTCCATTGATTAATTTAGTAAACATTAAATTTTTGCAAAGACCACCTCAGTAAATATACATATAGTTAGATGCTAAATGTGGCTGCAGACATTTAGAGGCAAGTAGTTCTCGATAAAAGCTGGAGTGGCCAGGGAACATTTTCAGAGAAGGAGAAAAAATCCAGGAGACAGAATATCACACAGAGTCAACAGGATCTGTGTAGATCTGGGAAACATGAGAGACATTTTAATCAAAGGAAGACACACCACTCTTATAAATATTCCTTGGACAAAGGGTTATCGCTCAGGCCCTGTGAGACCTATGAATGCACCTCAGCCACAAGAGAACCATAAGATAAATGGTTTGCTTCCCTAAATGTGGCAACAATCTATTAGAGGACTGGTCTATGAACTTAAGGGCAGAGTCTCCTTGCATTAAAAATCTGTTTGGGTAGGATTCTATATAATTGGCTAATTTGAAGTGTGATAATGGAAACTTTCTTTCTATTATAACTCTCCCATGACCTGCCCTGAGATCTGGTATTTCATGCAAATAGTATCATCTTTGTGTATCTTACAGAAGATTCGACCTCCAAGAAGAATTGTTTATGTGTACATGCCCCTGGGATAAAGGGCATCCAACACCTTCAGAAGAAAGTGGAATTAAGACAGGCTCAAAGTAAGAATTGCCTGGTTGGAATGAAACCACCAAGTGAAATTGTCATTTAGTGGGGTGTTCCAGTCCCAGAAGATTAGGATAGGGCTTGTTAAAAGAAAGTTGGAAAGCTGTCATGGTCAACCAATTTTTCCATTTTTATTCTCCCAAAATGCACACTGAAACATGGCTTGAAAGAAGTGAACTTGGATGTACTTCAGCAGTTCAATCTCTCCCCACCAGGGTGAGCCAGGCCATTTCCCTATTTTGGTGCTTAACCTAATTTGGAATCCTCTTTTGCAAAATGCCTTTACCACCTGCCTGAGGTGAAAGGAACAAAGCTCATGCCAACTGACAGGAATGTTTTCTGCAAGGCTGAGTTAACAGGGCAACCTTACATTATCTTTTGCTGAACAAGGAGATTTTTTCCAACAGTGAAGCCTGAGAATGTTCTTTTTATTTTTTTTTTTTTAAATTCTTTTAAATGAAACAGGATAAGTGGAGAGGAGTCAAAACAGTGAATTTCACACATTGAGAGTGATGGGGGTTTTCTTGTGTCCTGAGGAATGAAGGGGCTCAGGGGGAAGGTAAATGTGCTTCTCTACAGATCATGGCTAGAAAAGCAACATAAACCTCACAGTGGAATATCCTCTATGGAGCAGCCTTCTTTTCCTAAGCAAGAATGCTCATTTGATTGCTGCCACGTTATTATTTACCATTATTCATTAAGAAACTAGTCCTCAAAACTTGTCTAGACCATTCAACAATCTTTAAAGTCCCATCTCTAAAACACAACCTTCACTCTGTCACCAAGGTTACTTTCTCCCAATATCCTCTATATCATGTCTCTCTGGGGCTCAGAGACTTGTAGGGCCTCTCCAGCACCGTTAAAATAGTACTTGAATTTAGCTGGACATTGAATGTCTTACATGCAGATCCTGGCTCATTTTTATAAAACAAAGTCCACCTCTTCTATTTTAAAATGTTCTTCTATGGCTAGATCTCTGTGGCCAGTCCATTCTATGAACAGCTGCTTCTTACCCTGTTTTACTGACTTATATGATAGTTCTCTTAACTAGATACAACATACATCTTTCATAAAATTCTACCTACTTTTTATGTCTTCTTTCTCCTCCCCAAAATCTTTTCTGATAACTTGCATGCATACTGCATTGCCTCTCTCCACATTTTTTGCCGTATTTAAGGCTAAAGAAGCCCCACAGTGTGCACTGTGTCAAAATACAGCTTGACATGTTGTGTGCATCAAGTATGTTCATCTCATTCATTTAATCAACTAGAGTCAACAAATTCTTATTTTCTCAAGTTCAGTGCTAGATCTTAGGCTGGTTTCTCTCTTCTCACCAAAAACCAGCATAATGATCATGTTTATGATGACATTTTAAAATAATTTTGCATTAATTTAATCTATCAAAACAATAGTAAAATGAAAGTCATTCCCAATTAAATGCACTACAAATTTTGAATTGACTGTAAGAAAAAACACTTAGGGTACAGTTTAAAAAAATTGATGTTTTCTGCTTCGGGACAAGTCACAAAGGATGCTGTAGTAGGTTTCATACTATTGTCCAAAATGTTACATCAAACAGAAACTTGAGAATATGACCTTATTTGGAAACTGGGTCTCTGCAGTTGTAACTGTTTAAGATAGGATGAGTTCAAACTGGATTCGATGTGGCCCTAAATCCAATAGCTGATGACCTTATATAAAGAGGACACACTGAAAGACACACAGGAAAGAACCATGTGACAATGGAATCAGAGCTTGGAGAGACATGGCTACAAGCAAAGGAAGCCAAGGGTTGCCAGGAGTCATCAGAAGCTAGAAAGATGAGAGAGTATGATGCTTCTTAGAGCCTTCTAAAGGAACATGGCCTTACTGAAATCTTGATTTTAAACTTCTAGCCTCTTAGAAGAACTGTTGAGAGAACAAATTTCTGTCATCTAAAGACACACAGTTTGTAATTATTTGTTAGAGCAGCCCAAGGAAATGAATACAGATGTTGAGTGGTGCATTTAGTCTTCTGAATGTAAGTGAGGTGTTTCACTCAAAATAGAAAGTTAGATACTAGCTGAAAAACAGTTCTGACCAGGGAAACTCTCTTTCTACAAATGGCCTTAAAAATAGAATAGGCACTTTTTTTGCCTTTTTTTTTTTTCCAGTGGTTTTGGTGTGATCCTCCTTGAAAGGAGGTGAATGAACCAAGTGACCTTTCAAGATCGTCCTCAATCCTTTGATACTGGGATTTTATGAACTCTGCTCACTTGATAATCTAGGCCAGTCTTACTTATGCGTGTATACTTCCAGAACAGTTTTCTATTTCAAACTTCTACTGCAAGCAAGTAAATTCCCTCATGTCCCCTACCTATGTCTTTCTATTCACACACCCTGAAGTGCAACCATATTTATGTTTATAGTGATATATTTGTTTCTACTAATCTCCTTAGAAAGATGCCCTTACAGTATGTCTTATAGGCTGCTTTTGTTCACTATTTTTGGTAGCCTTGTTTTATATGATCTTATTTTTATTTTTAACCAATGGGATTTAAAGTGTTTCATTAAACTAGCTAGTGATATTTCTTTAAACTTCTGGATTAATCATAATTGTCTAGGTTGCAATAATAAATAATCCAAAATTGCAGAGGTTTCAAACAAAACAATTTCCCCATCATCTACCCAACTTGTATATCTTGGATCAATGAGAGGCTTTGTCCTACACGCTACTCATTAAGGAAGGCACACTAATGGAGTTCTGACTTCTGGGATATCTCAGAATCTGGAAGGGAAGGTGGGGATGGTGCACTGGTTCTTAAAGGCTTCTACGTCCACATGACAGACATTATTTACTATCCTGTTTCACTGAACAAAGCAATAATATATCCATCCCTAACTTTTAAAGAGAAGAGGAGTGCAATCCTACCATGACTTTAGAAGGAGGTGCGTGAATATTGGTTACTAGTAAAATAATGACCAGCATTCTAGGACAATTCAGAGTATTTGTTACTTTACTTCATACACACACTAATGGGTTCTCATCAACTGAGTCCTCTTACTCTTAAAGGAATGTATATTCTGGATAAGAAAGTAATTCTCCTTAGGGAAGAAACCACAGGTTTGGGCACAGAATTTGAGTTGGGCCTCGAAAGCAAAAGCAGTAATCTCAGAATGGGGACTGGGATGGGGAATGCGCTAGGTGATTTGAGCAGAAAAAGCAGAGGTCTAGTTCCAGAGCCTTGGGAGAATATGAGATGTCTGGGATTAGAAAGAAGGATATAGGAAGTTCAATGTCACTACAATGTAAGTATCAGAAACACTGGGAGAGTTTGACTACCTAATTCTCTCCTCCTCAAACCTCTTCTATATTCACATTCATGCATACATTTCCACTTCCCAACTGCTAAATAACTGTGATCCTGCAGTTCTCACTTGGCATTTCTCTACCAGATCTCTTAGCCACTTACTATGCCACTGGGAAGGAACTAGAGTGAGACCAATGAGGAATTTAGGGTATAACATTTAAAGAATTACTTTCTTCTGATGCTGACATTGCCATAGCTAAAACCAGGGCTAAATGCCTCCTTACAAATGAAGCATTAGACCGAGAGTGGTGGCACATACCTGTAATCACAGCATTTTCTGTGGTAGAGGCAGGTGGATCACCTGAGGTAAGGAGTTCGAGACCAGCCTGGTCAACATGATGAAAGCCCAACTCTATTTAAAAAATACAAAAATTAGCCAGATGTGATGGCATGCACCTGTAATCCCAGCTACTCAGGAGGTTGAGGCAGGAGAATCACTTGAATCCAGGAGGCAGAGGTTGCAGTGAGCTGAGATCATGCCACTACACTCCAGCCTGGGCAAGAGAGTGAGACTCAGTTTCAAAAAAAAAATAAAAAATAAAAAAATAAGGTGTCATCAAAGCCAGATGGCATATTTTTAAAGGGTTTTTATTTATTTTTTTTTTCAAGCATAAAATAGACAAAAAGAAATCTATCCAGAACTACTACAAATCCATAGATCAATTACTTGGGTCTTGATTTTTCTTTGCTGGCACTCCCACACACCTTATATTTCTCTATATTTGTCTGTCCTGCCTTGTGTTCCTACAGTAAGCCTATTCTTCCATCTTCCAGTTCCCAGTGGGACTGGTCCTACTGGGACTACTGCCTCCCTGAAATCTTCTGGCCCTAAGGATAGCAGAGGCTTCTCACTATTGCTAGTATCTGAATGCCTCACTCTCTTTTTTCCCCTAAACCTATTCATACTTCTATAAAAGTTTTCTTCTTTAGTTTCACCTAAACCTGGGTGAATTCTCTTTTCTTCTGAGACTCTGACTGGTACACCCTATTTAAACCCAAGGATGAATTGGCATGCGTTCCATAGGTGAAAGGTAAGGGAAACAACAGATTCCTGTTGCATTTATCCATCATGATTCATGTAGACCTTCGCCTGAGATGAGTTTCCAGGTCAATCACATTTGTATCATCCATTGTTATGATGTTCTCCTTATTTCAATGTAATGAAAAGGCTTATTTTTTACCCTTTAATATAGTACACAAACCCATGATTTAAAATAATAATAAAATATCAAAAACTCATAGTTTCCTCAACACAACGCTGAAGTTTCTCCTGAGAGGAATAAAAGCTGTTTTTCTGGAGATAAAAACCCACTGAAAAGTTTATAAAGAAAACAAACTCCCCTCGGGCAGTAATCAGTGGTCAGACAGTATCTGACAAGCACAGCAGAATTTTAGCTATTGCTCTAGGGCTGTTCTTAGTTCTGGTCAATTCCTTTGCTAACTGGGATATGAAAGGAACCCAAGTGAAAATAGTCCAGAGGGGGGGAAAATCAGAAAGATAATGTAAAACAAATTCATTATATCTGGAATATTAAGATTTTGTTCTTAGAAGATTTTCTTCTTTTAGCCCCAGAGCACTTGAAAGTTCTGAAGATTCATTTTATGTAAAATCAAAATGATATTTTTACATAACACTTATTTTAAGTTTAAAGGCTTGCTACAATGAAACTGGCACTATCATGAGCCTAAAGCAGCAAAATAAACTGAAGAGGCCTCATAAAAATATATAGGCAGTAGTCAACTGAGGCAAGGAAGTCAGCTTCATGGCTTGAGACCTCTGATTTGCGTCAACACCTAAATTTCTCCTGCCTCATTCTGGAATTCTCATGCAGTGGTAGTGTTTCCTCCTAGACTTTTTTCTTTTTTCTCAAAAAGGAATTGCAGTCCTATTTCCTGACTAATTAGAATGGTTTATAATTCGGTTTTGGCCTGTAGGAATGGATTAATCTCTGTAAGAGGTGTGGGAAATTCAGCAGCTTCTTTTAGCAAGGGTATTCATGCCAACTTTGTATTTATTTATTTACTTATTTTGAGTTTCATTAAATAGGAAGCCTTATTTTCTACAGATTTAATTTTGATGTCAAGGTTAAAGTTTCAAACTCATTGTCTTTTGTTTATGGTCACATTCACTCTCTTCCATACACTAACCTCCAGATTTAAAGTAGCCAAGATTAAGAATCTGCCGATTTTCACATCTTCTTCAAAGGCATGTAACTTGGCTACACCCTGTATTCCCCACCACCATTAATCAGTTTTACAAATGCACTGGGCTCCAGAGACTCAGCTAGATGCTGCATGATATGAACATACAAGGGCAAAGTCTTTATAGGAATTTAGAGGATAGCTGAAAACTATACCTTGTCAGTAACAACATCAGCTTAAAATAAGCATCAGGGTTATTGTGCTAGGAATGCAGGATTAGATGTCATATGAGCTCTCTATATAGCAAAAAATATATTTTTAGAAAAAAATTATTCCAATTATGCCCCTGCCACCAATCAGAGTTATGATGTGGGGAAGTCTTTTTCCTGATTAATACAAGTAAGACTGCTAAGTATCACTCTTATCTCCTGCCTACTGTGCCAGTTCAAATCTCAACATATCTTATTTATCCTTAAAAGTCCAGTATACATATTTTCTTCTCAAAGCCATTTATGGAGGACCAAGTTTTGGGACCTACTACTCCTGGCTCCTAAAGCAGGCACTGTCTCTTCCTGGTATAAAGTGGCTAGAGCACACACTCGTCAATCAAATCTCTTGCCCTTACACCCTAGGAAGCGTATTCGCCAGCTTTGTGACCTTGGACATTTTTCAGAAACTGCTTGTTTCTCAATTTTTTCATCTGTAAAATGAGGATGATAATATGACTTCGAGTTGTGGTGACACGATCCCATAAGGTAGAACTCGGCACACAGCAAACATTAAGTATCCGATGATGTTAGCTAACATTACTTTATACCTAACAATATTCCGAGGTGTATGCCCTTTTACATAACTTGGCTATAAACACCTTGAAATCAGTTTACATATTCATACTTCTGGGTCTGGGGCCCAGTGTCCCAGCAGAGTATGGTGAACAGATCAGATGCCAAGCCAGCATTAGTCAACTGATACTTAGCAGTAGTTTCTGGTTTCTTTAAGACAGGGAATAAATTACAGGTGATTATATAGTGGAATAGGTTTTGGAAATGTAGCTCAGGGACATGCTAAATGCCAGATACGCAGACTACATTAGGCCAGAGCTGAGTACACCTGAGTCTGAGTTCTTGCCTTGAAAGCTATAACCTGTGCATTTGAGACAAAAGGTCTTCCCTAGCTCATTCTAGTTGCGCCTATTTGAAAGAGAAGACAAAAATAACTCAAATTTAACTCTTGTCACAAATGTATATGTTAAAACAAGTGTCTCTTGGTTTCTACATATTCTCCTCCTAATAAATATACCAGCACGAGCATAATCTCTTTTACTCACATTTTTGCCAGTGAATCCACAGAAACACTGCAATACGTCAGCATTTCTTATGCTCTTAAAACGTTTTTTTTTTCCTCTTAGCAGAACAGAAAACGTGAGAGCAACTGTTTTGAAAGTCCACCGCCCAAATGAAAGTTCACGAAGTTCCCCAGACGGCCCCAACCTTTAGAAGTGACATCTGATAAAGTGGCCAGAGAAGTCTAATAATGGTCAAAAGCTGAAAAGCACAGTTAGAGGAATGAAGCAACAGAAATGAGGGTAACATGAACTTCACTCTACAAGAGAGTAAGAATGAAATGCTCTGTTTTGTAGAAAAGGACTTTTTCTAGACACACACAGATACAGACATCAGCACACACCCTCAAAAATGACTGAAGCCTGGAGACAGCTGTTTCCAACGATAATAATTGTAACTACTTGGTAAGTTCTAATTAGGTATGAGATACTTACAATGATGAATCTGCAATTCTTAAAGCAGTCTTCAAGGAAGCTGCTGTTATCTTTATCATGTAAAGTTGACAATAAAGCTCAGAGAGCCTGCTCAGGCTGTGATTTTAGCACATGGCTGAGCCCGGTGCCACTTAGGCAACTCCTGTTCCACGCAGCACAGAGATCTGCATCCCACTTGGCACCTTCACACTGAGTCATCCTTACTTCCATTGTATGTGATTTACAGATCCACCCACAAGATAGTTTAAAAAATAAATGGCCACATTTAGTCAGTGTTTCCATTATTCTAACAAGAACCTATTCAAATGCCCCAGGGACCATCAAGCTATCCTAGACTACCTCACCAAAGCCCTATACTGTATATATGCACACACACACATACATAAGCATTCACATCCATATCTGTATATCTATGTATATCTATATTGTTTGTATTAGTCCATTTTCATACTGCTGATCAAGACATACCCAATACTAAGAAGAAAAAGAGGTTTAATTGGACTTGCAGTTCTACATGACTGTGAAGGCCTCAGAATCATGGCAGGAGGCAAAAGGCACTTCTCACATGGTGGTGGCAAGAGAAAAATGAGAAGGACAAAAAAGCAGAAATCCGTAATAAAACCGTCAGATCTTATGACACTTATTCACTACTACAAGAACAGTATCAGGAGAAACTGCCCTTGTGACTCAATTTATCTTCAACCATGGCCTTCCCACAACACATGGGAATTACGGGAGTACAATTCAAGTTGAGATTTTGGTGGGGTCACAGCCAAATCATATCATCATGAGGTTGTTTATTCCTTGTCTTCACCATTATAATCTGTCTCATCACCAAAACTATAAACTATTCACATCCATCTTTCACATCGTATTGGACAACAACTGACATATGAGATATATACATATATATATTTCCAAAACCTAACATGTATTAAATAATAACTCTATATACACACACACACATATACGTAAAGACACACATATGTGTGTGTGTGTGTGTGTGTGTGCGTGTGTGTAGTTAAAATAATGACAGTATCCCTCTCTATATTTTAGGGATGCTTACTTTTCCATGAGCAATTCTGAAGTGTTCTCAGTAGTAATGACATAGACACATAACTATGACTGGTATTCTCAGTAAGAAAATTGTAAGCTGCCAATGTTAGAAAAAAGAGGTTACAAAAAAAAGAGGAGGTCATAAGATAAAAATAGCAAGATAATGTGAACATATTTAAATAAGTAAAGCTCAATAAAATCATTCCAGATATTAAAAAAAAATCAGGAACAATGTTAGACTGTGAGAGATTTGTTTTAGAAAATTCATGGAGAACAAATGAGGCCCAAGGACTGTAGAAATGCAACTTGACAAACATGAGTTTAGGTAGAGAGACAATGGTGAATGCAAGACACATCTAACAAATACAAACCACTTTTCCTACCAATAGAGATGATGTTTTACAAATCACATAAACCAACAAACGTTATTTAATCTAATGTAAAAATATTATCCACACTTCATCAAATAATCACGATAATAGCTTTTTTACACTTAAATTTTCATTACCATTAATATTGATTGTTGTTAAAAGTCCTTGAAAAAAGATTAAAAGCAGACCTGAAATATCAGTAACGATCAGTAGCAGCTGACATTTGTGTAGCACTATTAGACATAATATTCAGAAGAAGACAAAGTCAGAACCTTCATACAAATGTAAAATTCATACACATTAAACTTTTGACTTATATGAGGGAACAAGGAAGATGTTATCATCAGCTCAAAGGAAAAGTAATTATGCATACATAAACACACACACACACATACATACATATAAAGGAAAAGAGTTACAAATGAATACTAAATTTTTTTTTTCAAATACAGAAACGACAAAGTCAATGGACACTTTTTGAAAAAGAGAGAGTTTGCCTATCTATGTGTCCCTTACAGTTAATAAATAGGTGCAAAATGCAGGCATATCTCATTTTATTGTGCTGTACTTTATTCACAGATACTGTGATTTTTTACAAATTGTAAGTTTTTGGTACTCCTACATCCAACAAGTCTACAAACATAATTTTTCCAACATCACATGCTTACTTTGTGTCTCTGTGTTAGCATTTTTAACAATAAATTAATTTTGATTAAGCTATATACATTATTGTTTTAGATGTAATAGACACTTAAAAGACTACAGTATAATGTAAATATAATGCTTACATGCAATGGGAAACAAAACAGCACCTCTTCAGATTTGAAAAACTCCTTTTGTAAAACTCAATCAATACTAACTTATCAAATAAAATTACGTATTTCTGGCACCTGTTTGTTTGTTTTTTTTAAATAAGATAAAACAAATCTTTGTGATTTTTAAAAGAGACTTCTGAAAAGATCTCAAAGATACTTCAGGTGCAAAAAGTATCATGGGAGTTTAATTTAATTTAATTTTACATTGAAAATTTATTTCTAAGAAGAAGAAAAAGAAAAACAGTTGTCAGGAGATCTGACCTAACAAGATATAAATCATACTGATCTACCTATGTAAAAGTGACAATAAAATATTTAAAAATAAACATAGAAAGTAACATGATTTTAAAGAACCTTGGCTCTTTCATAAGTGAAGAGTTTTTGTTTTCTTAAATAATCAAGGACATGATAAAATAAGCATAAAGCCCAGAAAATTATCTTGCTAGAACACAAAATCTGTGCAGATTACACAGAATTACATATCATAGCTTAAGGCAATACACAAAGAAAAAAAGCAAACCCATTAAAGCTGAACAGACTTTGTTAAGATTTTCACATATTTCAGACTTTTAGGGTTCACTTTGCGCCCTTTTGTCACATTGTAATTCTTTCAGTATTTCCAACACTTTTATTATAATTATATTTGTTATGGTGATCGGTAATCAGTGATCTTTGATGTTACTATTTTAATTGTTTGGGGGCATCGGGAACCATACCTATATAAGACAGCAAACTTAATTGACTCGCAAATACTGTGTGTGTTCTGACTACTTCACCGAGCTGTTGTTTCCTTGTCTCTCTCCCTCTTTTCAGAACTCCCTATTTTCTGAGATACAATAGTATTGAAATTAGGCCAATTAAGATCCCTACAATTGTCTCTAAAAGTTTAAGCAAAAAAGGCCATACATTTTTCATTTTAAATCAAAAGCTACACATTGGGAGGCCAAGGTGAGAAGAAGGCTTGAGGCCAGGCATTCAAGTCCCGCCTGGGTAATAGAGGGAGGCCCTCATCTTTGCAAAACTAAAAAAAAAAAAAAAAAAAAAAAATCACCTGTAGTCACAGCTACGTATAAGGCTGAGATTGAAGTGTAGCTTGAGCACAAGAGTTCAAGGCTACATTGAGCAATGGTTATACCATTGCACTCCGGACTGGATAACAGAGTGAGGTTCTGTCTCTGAAATAATTAAATATAAACAAATAAAAAGCTATAAATGTTTAATCTTAGTGAGGAAGGTCTGCTCGAAGCTGAGATAGGCCAGAGGTTTAGATTCTTGCACCAAACTGTTAGCCAGGTTGCAAATGCAAAAGACAAGTTCTTGAAGGAAATTGAAAGTGCTATTCCAGTGAACATGCAAATGATCAGAAGGCAAAATCGCCTCATTGCTGATGTGGAAAAAGTTTTAGTGGTCTGGATAGAAGATCAAACTGGCCGCAACAGCTGGTCTAATTAAGCCAATGTCTAATTCAGGGCCACACAGGTCCTAACTCTCCTCAGTTCTATGAACACTGAGAGAGATGAGGCATCCGCAAAAAAGAAAACATCTGAAGCTGAGATTGATTCTAGAAACTGCAGCAAATTGTCAAGAAGATCTAGTGAAGATAATTGAAGAAGGTGGTCACACTAAACAACAGATTTTCAATGTTGGCAAAACCAACTTCTATTGGAAGAAAATGCCATCTAAGATTCTCATACCTTGGGCGGACAAGTCAAGGCCTGGTTTCAAAACTTCAAAGCCAAGCTGACTCTCTTGTTAGAAAATAATGCAGCTAATGACTTTAAGTTAAAGCCAAAGTTCATTTTTCATTTTCCAAATCCTAGGGCCTTTAAGAATGAAGCTAAATCTACTCTTCTTATGCTCTATAATTGGAACAACAAAGCCTGGATAACAACACACCTGTTTAGATAATGATTTACTAGATATTTAAAGCCCACGATTTATATCTACTACTCAGAAAAAAAAAAAAAGAGAGATTTCTTTGAAAATATTGCTGCTTTTTCATTATGTACCCAGACACCTAAGAGCTCTGATGGAGAGGTACAAGAAGATTAATGCTGTTTTCACACCTGCTAACACAACCCCCATTCTGCCCACCATGGATCAAGAAGCCATTTCAACTTTGAAGTCTTATTATTTAAGGAATACATTTTATAATGTGATAGGTGCCATGGCTCGTTATTCCCCTGATGGATCTAGGCAAAGTAAACTGAACACCTTCTGGAAAGGATTCACAATTCCAGATGCCGTTAAGAACATTCATGAATCACAGGATGAGGTGAAAATATTCACATTAGCAGGAGTTTGAAAGAAGCTGATTTCAACTCTCACAGGTGACTTTGAGGAGTTCAAGACTTAAGAGGGGGAAATAACTGCTGATGTGATGGAAGTAGAAACTAGAACTAGAAGGGGTGCCTAAAGATAAGACTGAATTGCTATAATCTCATGATAAAACTTGAACAGATGAATTGCTTCTTATGAATGAGCAAAGAAAGTGGTTTCTTGAGATGGAATCTACTTCTGTGAAGATGGCTATGAACATTATTGAAAAGACAACAAAGGATTTAGAACGTTACTTAAGCATAGTTGGTAAAGCAGTTGGCAAGGTTTGAGAGGAATTATTTCAATTTTGAAGGAAGTGGATGAAATGACATAAACAGCCTCATATGCTACAGAGAAATCTTTCGTGGGTGGAAGAGTAGATTGATGTGGAAAACTTCATTGTTATCTTATTTTAAGAAATTGCCACAGCCACTTTAACCTTCAGTGACTACCGCCCCTGATTAGTCAGCAGCCACCAACATCAAATCAAGATACTCCAGTAGCAAAGCGATTGAGATTCACTGAAGGCTTAGATGATTGGTAGCAATTTTTAACAATAAAGTATTTTAATTAAGGCAT